GTCGGAACTTCAAGACTATCTACTGTTTCTTCGATAGTATAGTAGCTAGAAAAGTGGGAGCTGAATAACTCACATATCTCCTGCGGGTCTTCGTGTAGTTTTTCTCCATCTAGTAATAAGTTAGGGATACTTATTCTGTTGTTGTTGATTCGTGACTTAATTAGTTTAACTAATGCCTCTGTATTATCAGGTCGTGAGTGGAGGATGCGTTCTAGTTTGATGGACTCAGATAACTGATTAGATTTGTATGAATCATAAGTTTGCTTGAGTGTAATGAGTGATGAAAAGTCATTATATCTGTAGAATTGCCTAGCATGCTTACGCAGTCGGTTTCGAATCTTTACGGGGATGAAGTCGGGCTGTTTAGGCCTCGTTTTCACAAGTCTTACTGGAGCGATAAAGTCATGTGCAAATCCTAGGTTCACATAGAGTGCGTATGTATGGTTTCAGGTCATCCCACTGAGCATGTCTGTAACTCCTGAGTAATACTTTGTTGGCGCTTATTGTCGAACTCATGCTAGTGCAAATGTTAAATGTACTAAATACTACTCTGTGGTCGCTGCCAGGAAACTCTTTACCCACTCGAAGGGTAGTGGGGATGATTTTATTAGTGAAAACTAGATCTAAAATCTTAGATAGCCTGGTAGGATACTGTACGTGTTGTTGCCGGTAATATATGTCTGATTTCCCACAAACTGGAAGGTATGCAAGTGAAAAGCAACAAGCTGGAAGAAGAAGCATCAAAGATAGGACTTCAAGTGAACATAGAATAAAACAGAGGTGATGAAGATTCCTGGCAAACACTAACCGCAACAGCAACAACAGACAATAATCAGCCAGCATAAATGGGAGGAACCTGAAAGAAACAGCCTCCTTTACCTACCTGGCAAGTATCGTTTCAACTACAGGCGGAACTGACGAGGATACCAAAGCCAGAATCGGAAAAGCAAGACAAGCTTTCATTACTCTCAAATCTGTGTGGAGGTCAACAGCACTCAGTATCAAAAATAAGATCCGGATTTTCAACTCCAATGTAAAGTCAGTGCCACTATACGTATCAGAGACTTGCACTGCGCGTCATAATGAGCATCTCAAACAAACTTCAGACCTTCATTAACAGTTGTCTTCGCTCAATACTCAAGATCAGATGGCCAGCTAGAAAAGATCAGCAACAGGGATCTCTGGCAATGGGCGAACCAACCAGGAACCGATTGTGAAACAAATAGGCAGGAAGAAATGGGGATGGATTGGCCATACTCTGAGGAAACCATCAGGTGACATCACTAGACAAGCCATCGCCCGAGTGAAACCCTAAATGGAAGCGGCGAGTTGATCGTCGGTGCAAGGGTGACTCGTAGGAGGTGATGTGAGGATGAGATGAAAGCATGTGGGCAGACTTGGAGCGGGGTGAAAAAGTTGGCAGAAAACAGAAGGCAATGGAGGTGCACAGCTGAGCCCTATGTTCCTCTAGGAATTAAAGGATATAATAATGATAATTAAAAACTTCTCATTTGGCTAAATGAAAGAAAAAGGGATTGTTTATGAGTGCACACATAGCATGAAAATCAAATTCTCTGAGAGATACAGACCGAATTTCACATGCTTTATGACTACCACTTAAAAAATATCAAATGTTTTGGGCTATTTTGGTTATACTATTCATGTTGTCAGTCTAGTCTCATAAACCGGTAATGTCCAGCTCTTGCTGCGCTGGGCCTCACGCTTTCCCTCGAAGATTTTCAGAAACGCTTAGTATTAACCGAGGCAAAGACCGAAACACTGTTTGGCGACTCAAGAATTCTTTATTGTAATGCCAACATATAACCAGCAACACTGGTATTAGAGAGTAAGGTCTAAGAACAAATATTACAACAATAAATCACGATATTACTTCTGACAGTTTTTTGATCTTCCTTCTGAACAGCAACCAATGAGACGACGACTGGTGGATTGATGACTCCACGAAAATATGGGGAAGTTGGGTTTAAGCAAACAACCATGAATTGATCGTTCGATCTTCAACTACATTCACACATGCATTATAAGGAATCCAGTCTTTGGAGTGTTTTTAACGTGTGTTTCAGGTTTTCTGTCAGTGATCAGTTAGACCTTCTTCAATTTTTTTTACTCTTGACTGAGCCTCTAAGTTCTAAGGGTTTCTGAGGCTGAATAAATACCTCTTATTGGGTAAAACTCTAACATGATGCTCGGGTTCAGTGTCACTTGCACAAGCCTCACGATTTGACGTATTTATCACCTTCGCAAAATACCATCAGTGACTTCAGTCTGAATTCTCCTCTACATAACCATTTCTACAGATATGACTATTTGTATAGAGTTTTAGATAAAAGGCTTTTGTTGCACACTTAATGTCCAGGTGAATTATTAGATGGATATCCTGGCAGCGTTAGCCAAGATTTGTCAGTCACTTCAATCACGGCACTGTTGTACATTTTAGCGAACTGTAACTTGGGAGAAATTATCTTTTCAGAAGCCATGGATTTTAGTTTGTGATAGTACTCATCAGAAATAAGTTTCCGAATCTTCGAATTGATACCTGCGTTATTCTTGTGGTCCGATGTGCTACTGAAGTTACTGCGGCGGGTTTTGTTTACAACACAGTAGGCCAAGTAGACTGTGTTGTTCTTTCTAAACGGCGATAAGCTTTGTGTGATGTTGATAGTTCCCTCAGTAGAAATTTCAGAAGTGCCACGGACGGCGGACAACTACGACTAAGTCGTAAAGATTAAATCAAGATTTACATACAATACATATCGTTTGTCAGCAAGAAGGAACATCAATTGAATGGATTTACGTAAGCTTGTATTCAAATGCACACAACTCTTGAAGGCTGCAGTGGGTTCTACATTTAAAAGCCTGTAGAGATAAATAATTCCCCAAAATTATTGACAACAGCAATCATTCATCATTGGATGCTGACCACCCATGTTTAAGTCGACTTGTTTAGCCGAAGGCTTCCGGTGAAGCATTCCCGCAATTTGGTACCACGTCATGTCAAATGCACGATCATGGGTGGCAATTCGAAAGTGGCTTATTCTTCGCCCTGACTAAAATCATAGGCTGCATGCGTTTTTGGACAACAGCCTACCATCCTCAAGCTAATGGTATGGTAGAACGTCTACACAGACAGTTGAAAGCTGGTTTGTCAGCTACAAACAACACCCGTTGGACTGAATCCCTTCCGTTAGTTCTCCTAAGGATAAGAAACGCCCTGAAAGCCGATGCTGGTTGTACTAGCGCCGAGCCAGTATATGGCACAACACTACGACTGCCTGGTGAATTTGTTTCTCCCTCGAGCTTTCCACCAGCAATAGATCACGCTTCATACGTTAGTAGGCTTAAAAACGCAATGCGTTCAATTAAACCTGCTCCCCTTCGTCCACAGTCCATTGATGTTTTCGTTCATCCGTGTTTAAAAGCTTCTTTACATGTATTCGTTCGTCGCGACTCTGTGAGGAGACCCCTGGAACGTCCATAAGACGGACCTTATAAAGTAATTAAACGTTCGGATAAATTCTTTATCTTGGACAAAATTGGCCGCGAGGACACCGTCAGCATTGACCGTCTGAAACCGGTTTACTTGGAAGGCAACCCTATTAGCATAGAGCTCAACGTACCCCATAATCCAAAACTAACCGAAGATCGTTTAGACCTCGATGAAGTCACTAGCACAACGCCAGCTACCGAACCTTCTATCGAGCCCCCCAAGAAAGCCCGTTCTGGGCGTACCGTAAGGTTCCCAGAATATCTTCACATTTATTTAACATAACGAAGTCGTGTGATTCACCCAACTCATTCGTTTGTGGTACTAACTATTTTTTAGACGTATCAATTTTTTTATATACAGTATCACTAAACACAAGTAAATTTTTTTCTTCAACAGTACATGCAACATGCACAAAAAAATTAATTAGATGTTTTTTCCGATGTTCTGAACTTAGCATTATTTTACTGTATGTTAAATGCACATCTTTTTTAAACACAAAAGCTGACTTGGTACATTTTCCTCGACACGGTTCTTAGCGTTTTCGTTTTTTTTCCAGGTGCGACAGGCACTGGACAGGAAACAAACGAAGCACGGGATCCAACGAACAACCGCAAGGAAGCTATGTACAAACACCCTATTATCATAGGCAGACAAACCAGTAGGCACGCCACTAAGCCGCTCGGAAGATTTTTTTCACCGAAAGGGAACCATCGAGTTTTTTACTTCCTGCTGGTTCTGTCTTAGGGTTCTCATCACCCCCACTACGGGGGGTGAGCTGTAGTGGTAAATAATTCCCCAAAATTATTGACCACAGCAATCACTCATTGGAAGCTGACCACCACTGTTTAAGTCGACTTGTTTAGCTGAAGGCTTCCGGTCAAGCATCCCCGCCATTTGGTACCCCGTCGTGTTACGTGCACGATCACTAGCCGACTAAGCGTTCGTCTGACGGCTTGTTTTGGTCCCAAAATATACCACGTAGTTTGGACGATCAAATGTTGGCTTTTGCTTTGTTTTTGGTACGCGAGAATTAATAAGTTAGAAGTTGCTGTATAAGAGATTCCGTCAACCTCTAAAAGCCAACAAATTTAAGATAAGATATTTCTGGTTTTCTAGCTGTATATAAGAGAGAATACGCACCTCCGCACTAGTGTCAACTGAATAGCTGCCTTAGTGAAAACATACGTAATGATGAGTAAGCTGTCACTAACCCTTGTAAAGTTTGAAAGTAGCGTAGGCTCCAGTAGCTTTATTATTCATGTTTTCATGATGACGAGTGTCATCCGCTACGCAAGACTTGCTTTATTCATATGCGAGTGTATATATTCTAAATACATAAGCGCTTACCACACTTTGATATGAGAACTTAAAGCGATTCAGATAAAAAGCAACGGATCAATCGTCTAGAGTACGCAATATACTTCGAGGTCGAAAACGTAGAGTAGTGTTGTTAGCTCAACTACATGGAGTGAGTACACAGACGATCGGACGTAATGGGATGGCGTGTCAGAAGACACAGACGCTTGGCCAGATACCTTAAGCTTAACCACTGAGGGTCTGTACCGGATTTGGATATATTTTGGGAAGTTATTTACAATTTTTCACACTAACATTCCGTAGGTGGGGATGTGACCTTATTTCACGTATCATGTACACAGTGGTAACTTCGTTATTAACCTTTCTAACCCCTTGTTTTTCATAGAAAGCCGCTTGAACTGTTGTTAAACAGAATGCAGAGGCATGCACTGCAAGGATTAACACCAGATAGCGGTGGTGTAATCTTCATTGTTCGTGAATCTTGAATGTTAATAACAAGACTTCAAAAGTGGTCTCTTTAATACGTGCGCTGCATATGCTGGTATGTTGTTTTTCTGATATTTTGCGAAATAGCGTTCGTTAAGTTTCATAAATCACCTGCCACATAGGTATTTACTTTAGCTCCAGTGATATAATGTTACATTAATTTATTGTGGCAGTAAAGTATTATTAAGTTCCTGCACAGTCAACTTCTTTTCTCTGTAGTCTAGATTCCTTACTTTTAGTTTCATATATTCGTATCAAAAGCTTACTGATATATTCGCTTGTAAACTCGACATAAAGCCTTTGTTTTGAATTTTGTCACAGTGACAATTCAAGATACTGTTTACATGTTGAAAATAGGCTTTGTTGTAGTGTTGACCATATGAATTGGTTAAAGTTGCATATGAAGGCTGCAGCTCCACATGGCGCGTTTGAAAATGGGGTTCAGGTTCCTGAGAAGATGAGTGTTTTGTGCGTCAGATAGTTAACAGGGAAAAGATCGTGTAACCAGTATCAGGAGTTACCTCCGCATATTCATTAATTTGCTTTATTTCGAAGGCTTCTTAGTTGTCAGTCTATTCCCGTACACTCTAATTTCACCATAGATATTTTTCAAGCCTCTTGTTCGATCTGGGTAAGTACAAACATGTACTTTTTATTCGAATTCTTATGACTAACTGCTTCTCTTATGTAAGATATTTGAGTAGCATACACCCCTTTCATATCATTCCGTCTTTGTCATTTACTAAACTGATTGGCACTTTTAACAGAAACATGCAATACTGTGTCTGAATCAGATGTCTTGCAGGCATTCCATTACTAACTTATTTCACCATGTCACTCATTAACAGACGAATATAAAGGTTGTGAGTTGTGTTAATCACTTTTAAATTACTCTTCAGTGTTCCAGACTTCTGAAACAACCTTGACCTCATAGGTTAATCGGCTGAAGTAAAACATGCAGAAACGATGTTGTGTGCTTAACTAACAAATGATTCACGGTCCAGTCTCAGCTCAACCTGTCTGCTTCGAAGTCACCCACTCATTCGCTCGCTGAATAGCATAGACAAAACGAACACTGGTTATGATGAGCACACTTCATTTATTTTGTAAGTGAAAAGGATCAATACAAAATGATGTTGACAACAAATGCAATAATACAAGATAATTGTCTTCGTCTCTCAATACTTCATGACCACATGATGACCACAACCATCGCCTCGATCAGGATCGTTCAATGTTGACTGACTTCGACTCGACTCGACTGACTCCCATCTGATGATATATGTAGGTTGTAATCATTGTGATGAGGCTGGCTGTCAAGTCACGGGAGTTCTGTAATGAACGGAAAGAGTAAATGTTTGTCAGGGATTAATGAATTATTTGAAGTACTCAATAAGCATTCATCGAGAATGAGAAATTATTGTCGATTCGAATGGAAATATGATCTGATGGAGGAACAGGCCCATACACGCACATACACACACACAGACACTGACTCTGATCTATTCTCCATGTCAAGGTAAACACTACCAGATATATACCAGATATACACATACGTGTGTCTGTACGGTGGAGGGAGAGTGAAGGACGACTCACTCTGAGAAATACACACATCGATATTTATCTTCATATCCTTTGACTTTGGCTTTGACGATGTCAAATCTAATTGATTCGGTCAAGGTGGATTGCAGTCTAGTCCCTCTGGTCTTTTATCCTGGCTGCTCATACAGACAAGCTGGCTACACCGCTGAATGCTGATTCGGGTATCTCGTGTTAGGTCACAATGAAGCCACGAAGAGTCTTCACTCATATAGGACAACAACGCTAACCCGTCAACCTCGACTAATCACAATTATATGAGTTTATCACTCGAGACTCTACTGAGTTCACATAAGTCCAGTAGATAATGTTACAATACTTGATAATTGCAAATATAAGCAGATGGAAGAAATGTAATGCAGTAAGCAGATATATGCTGGAGAATAAATAAAATTTTAGAACCCGAAAAATGACAAGTAGATTTATACTTTTGCTAACAGTGTTTTGACTTCAGTATCATCAAAGGTCTGAAATAGATTTGCACTATTACTCAATGCAGTTATTGCGTTTATTTCAGTCAAAACAGCGTAGTCTATACTGAATGCATGTGTTATGTATTTTTATCGGTGTTTGTGAAGAATTACTCTGCTCGTTATCTATTAGGAGTTACCGTCAGATATTAAGAACTTGTGAGGCTTCATGATTTCCTTGTGGATCAGAGAACAGAGTTGCAAGTGCAGTCATTACTGAAGGTTTCTAGATTTTCTCTGATTTTTGGTTACGCGAGTTTTGTTAAATATATGTTACATACAAGTTTCCATATTTTTCCACTGAATCCGTATTTTCCCCTTTAAAAAATATCGTAAGCGTTGTGTTATAAAATAATAAATACTGAAGATAAATGTACAGGCATATTGCCTATCTTGATAACTTAATAACACGAATAGCCCGAATTCCTTACTTCATTCGTTGAAGAATTCACATGGCTGATTATATTATCATATTTCAAAGTTTCTAGTGAGGTGCATTTAAAGGGAACGTGAAAGGAAGTCATATTTGAGCCAAATAGCACAATTGTTAAAGTAATTTTCAATTGTTCTTTTTTTTTACTTCAGAGCTTTTTAGGACTTGGTCAGAGTGTTGATATTAAAGTAAATTTACAAGATGAAGAACATAGGAGAAAGGAGGAACTAAGGAGTGAAGATGGACACATCCATTCACTTCCTGTTTATTATGATGGTGAAAACGTTTCTGGGTCTGTACATGTTGGTCTAAAGAGAGGAGGGAAACTTGAACATCAAGGAATCAAAGTTGAATTTATTGGTCAAATTGAGCTATATACTGATCGTGGAAATCGTGAAGAGTTTGTTGCTTTATGTCAAGATTTAGCACGTCCTGGAATACTTTCTCATTCAACAAGCTATCCATTTGAATTTCTTCGTGTTGAAAAGCCGTATGAATCATACTGTGGCACAAATGTTCGTTTAAGGTGAATATACATTTTATATGCCTCTCTAGGTAGTAGGTACTTCCTACGAGTAACCATTCAAAAAAGAATTGCTGATGTAACGAAAGAATTCGAATTAGTGGTTCATTCTACTATGAGATGTTCTGAATCAAGTGACAGTATTCAAATGGAAGTTGGAATAGAGGACAGTTTGCATATTGAGTTTGAGTACAACAAATCAAGGTGCACTTCTAATTCTTTTATATTTAAGAATTTAGATATCACTTGCAAGATGTTATTGTTGGGAAGATATACTTTCTTTTGGTTCGAGTTAAAATAAAGAATATGGAGATACAAATTCTGAAACGTGAAACTATTGGTGCAGGTAAATAATCGTCAATATGTCACATCTTATATTTACAGGACCAACTGCTTTTACCGAAACTGAAACTGTTGGTAAATATGAGATAATGGATGGTGCCCCTGTACGTGGCGAGTCAATTCCAATTAGGTTATTTCTACATATCTATGGCTTAAGTCCAACTATGCGTGATGTTCACCGAAAGTTTTCAGTACGCTATTTCCTAAACTTGGTACTGTTAGACGAAGAAGATCGACGATATTATAAACAGCAGGTAAGCTTTATATCTTTAGCATTAACACGCAGTAAGCTTGAATAAAATTAAGTTTCTCTTTCTTTTCACTGTTGGTTTGCAAGGATTTGATTGATTTCAAGTTAAGTTACTAAAAAACATCAGTTAGAGAATGAATAGAAACCATGCAGTACTGTAAGGTTATTTCGCCTTAGTTTTAAATTCTTCGGCAACATCCGTCAGAATCTTCAGTCAACCAGGGCGAGTCTTTTGACCATTCCTTTCTTGTCCACACTTTCGACAAGTAGTGGATTATCATCGTTTTTACTGAAACACTAATAAACTGTGCAAAAGTGCTTCACTTCAAGTACACAAAGGGAAGAAATATAATATCCTTGTTCCCAGAGCGGAGCTGGCCTGCTGATATTCTGAGGAAAACACTTCATTTATGTTACATCCCTATTTGACAGCAGTAGGGCTTCGTTCTCAAACCTAAAATGAGTGTGGGCGACTTATGCTAGGGTGACAACTGCCTTCCGCCTAACCTCTATCTGAACGACTTTTCTGACAGTTGGGTCATTGCGATATGCATCTATACGCCACTACGTCAAGGTAGCAGCTATGGGTCGGAACTAGACATCGGATTAAGTCGGAGAAGAGTTAGGGGTGGTAACATCAAAACACGGTATCAGTTCAGCAAGTCTTTGATTGTAGGCTTTAGGCGGTGTAGAGAGGTGTAATTGGCATGACCGAGGTGTTGTTGAAACGCTAAGAACGCTTGGTTGGAGTTTGTTGATGACTTAGCTCAGGATCGTTTTCAGTGGTGCAAATACATTCACTCTTTGTAGTTTAATAGAAGTGATACATTCTAATTATACTCCACATACTTATTCATTCTGCCATACATGGCCGTTCATTATAGCTTTTTTAAAATTTTCTCTCTACTCTGCGTGCTATATGTCATGTGACAACTTAAACTGGCGCTCTACTTATGGGCATAGTTCTACATTGAGAAAATAGTCTTTTTCTTAAACGACTATATCATTTGTGTACTATAGGTCAACGGAACAGAAACCACAGATTATAGACCTCATAATTCATGAGGTTTACGTGGGATTGCGTTAAGACGAAAAAATCTCCTCAGTGTAAAATATGAATACTCAAATAGATTTACCATCTGATTTGAGTTTGTTCCCAGCAGATGTGTAAATAAGGTCTCGATGACTTTTAGTATCGCCGAATATAAAGTGCAGACAGGTGAAGATTGATTTTTGTATTGTATTTATTTAAAGACACACTTGTTACGGTGTAGGCATCGAGAAATGCGTCGCACAAAATAATAAAACAACAATATAGTGATCAAAGCGATAAAACAGATAGTTAACATCATGGTGAAACAATTAGGCATATTTAACAAGTATGTCTAAGCGACCTTTCATTAATTCAAATGTTAGCAGATGCAAGAAAATAGTGCAGCGTATTCCCGAGACTGGGTCAAGTTTAATAACGTCTCAAAGAATCGAGTCGCATCATCCCCTGAAGCCCCGTAGCATAAGGCCTCAAAATGAGATAATGTGAAGCTCAGTTAAGTGTAGGTATATTCAACTAATGAGTTCCGAATCGAGCAAAACGCGATTCTTAGATTTCGATCTCAGTTTACACCAGCCAAAAGATAAACATAATTTTAAAAGTGCAAATGTGATAATTCGATTAGCGACTTATGCTAGTTTTGTCATAAAACTGCCAATCATAATACTACCAAGACTTGTCTCGTGCATTTGAACGAACAGAGTTTATATTATATTGATATTACTGTCCATGGTTCAACCACATACTGCTAGATTTCCCGAGCATAATGCTTATAAAGCAGTGATTCCTAATTTCTTCTATCGATATCATAAGGAGTATAGAGTAATAGACTCGACTATGAATTTGTGCTTGCTGTGAGTGGTTTTTAAGTGCTCAAGTCATTTTGACAACATTTTAGTCACAGTTAGCAAGAACTGTTATCACAAAATGTGTTCTTTATTTTCCGATGTTATAAAAAGCGTTTACAAATGCCTGTTTGTTTTAATGTTTTACTTTTTCAACATATACAATTTAGGAAATTATACTCTACCGAAAATCTGATCGGCGACTTCAAGCATACGTCCAACAAATTACTGAAAAAGGCTATGATGAGAGCAAAGGTGTAGACAAGGAATTGAAAGCTAACTGCGATGGAGAAATACACCAGGAAAACGAAGTAGCTAATGAGGTGAGAATTTTGTTTTTTTTAATCATAATAACCAGAGAAAAACTTGGGAATAAGTTAGAGCACTTAATTTCCAAATTAAAATTGATATGTCTTTTTTTACGATATCAGTTAGAGAACCACTGAAAACCAGGAAGTAATCAACAGTTATTTCATCCTAGTTCGGGAGTCATCAGTAGTACGCACCCACTGCCAGGGTTGGAACCCAGGACCTTCCGGTTACAGGTCAAACTCGTATACTATTTAGCCACTGGGACCCGATTCAGTGACCAGCCCATGAATCCTAACTTCTACCAATTCGTGATTTTAGCGCGACCCCAACCATTGTCGTAGGTGGGACACCCATCCTCATACGTGACATCTGGATGGTAGAGGTTAGGATTCATGAGCCATTGAATCGGGTCTCAGTGGCTGAATGGTACACGAGCCAGCTTGCTTTGTAACCGGAAGGTCCTGGGTTCGAACCCTGGCAGTGGATGCGTACTACTGATGACTCCCAAACTAGGATGAAACAACTGTTGAGTACTTCCTGGTTTTCAATGGTTATCTAACTGATATCAATCCGTGATCAAACTCGTAAAAACAAAACTAACCCTTACAAACCAAACTATAGAAAATGTTTTTTGTTTGTTTGTTTTTACTTCATAACACTATAGACTCCAGATGGTGATACAACAAACCATAGACAAAGTGATGATAATAATACAATCAAATCAAAACTACTTCCTAGTCATGATTCTCCTGGTGGTGGTAAACAAGGCGATAATGTTCAAGTATGCAGTATTGATGGCGAGGACAGTGATAGCAATGATTCATTCTCTCCGCATACACGTTCAGCAAGAAGTATGCATCGATATGAATCAAAACAAGTTCATAAGTACGCTGAGCCTTCAACTATCAGTATTCTTGCAAGCGACTCACCTACACTTCCTCCTTCTGATATTTCAACAACTACACAGAATTCAACTTAATAAGATTGTTGTGTTTATCTATCCATCTTTAGAATGCATATATTATTTAAATCTAATTCAGAATGATACATTCAGTATTCTGGCCACCTCGAAGAATAGCTGTGATATACAACAACACTATATGTAACTGACTTTAATCATCTGCATTTCTGTTGTCTCATCAGGGCTATAAAAGAAAGAAAATAAAGTCACTTCACATTAGGCGATGTGTCTTTCACTATCTACTACTGCTATTATTATTATTATGATAAAGAAAGCGAAAAATGTTGTCGACTAAATCACCTAATTGTTTAACATTCATATTATACATACAATTTCTGAATTATTTCGTATCGCATTTCTCTGGTTGACTAGGTAGGTAGTTATTGATGATAATGATTAATAATGGTAACACCCGGTTGTTGCGAATACACGTAATTAAAACTATCGATTTCCTTCATGATTTTATACATTTTACAAAATAATAATAAAATGATTTTAATCGTAAGTATTATTACTTCCTCTTTGTTTTTTTGTTTTTTTAAATATCTTTGCTTAAAAATAAAATCATGTTTTAAAAATACAAGTCATCATCAAGGGGTGATATGAAATAATAAATTTAGTTCATGTGTACATACATACATATAGATAAGGAGTGGGATGGGGAGGGGAGAAATGAATCACAGGATTTTTGGGTTTAAGTTAACTAAATATTATTATTATTAGCATATTTTATACAGATTATATTATATTATACGTGATTTAGAGCATGCTGGACACTTGATTCCTCCGTTAACTAAACACTCTTCATGACATATATGACTGCATTGAAATATAGCCCAAGGATAAGAATTCTCTTCTTGTTGTTGTAGTGATTTGTATTCATCATTACTTTTTAGCGGATCAGTTCTTCGTCTTGACTGTACATTATTATTATTATTGTTATTACTATTGTTCAGTATAGGCTGTAAACAGACAATACATCCAGTAGTCGATAGATAGCTTGAATTGACACGCATTCCTTTCATTTGCATTTTAATAACACGTAAAAATAATTGATGCATATCTGAGGCTAGAATACGTGAACAGTTTTGTTGCAGTTCAAGTTGAATCTAAAAGCCAAAAAAAACGACAGGAAAACATGCATTAGACGCGGGTAATACACAATGAAGATTGAAAACAGCTCTCCCCTTCCGTAGTAATTTGAATTTAAAAGGAGCAACAACTGTGAAAGCAAGCCGTATTTGATGATTTCATGAATTTCAGTAAGACTCGTCAGATGAATATGCCTGCCCTACAAACATTGTTATTTGTACAATTCCCTTTTAAGGTTAACTACATATAAACAAGTGAACATTGTGATAACAAATAAGGATCATTAGAAGACGGAGATTGTCTGAAAAATGTGATGTATTAGCGCTATACATTTCGAACAATCTGATCACGCATTTACTTGTCAAGTCAATATATATAGAAAGGTTAAATTAAACAAATGGAGAGAAAAAGGAATTAAGAATAATTAACACAAACATCTCACACAATTTACCTATTTTCGTGTGTGTGGACATACATACATAGGGAGGAGTAATCGTGCTTTGCACGTGAGGATGGGAGAGCATATCCCAAAAAGGTTAGAAAAACAGATGAATTGTGACAAGCCAATAGATGCAGGTGTCAGACTACCAACTTTGTCTATAGCTAAACATCTAGTCGAGATGAACCATAAGATTGATGTTAACTCAGCCTTTAAGGTCATCTATAAAAACGGTCAAGGGCGTTTACTGAAATACGCTGAGGCTGTAGCTATTCATAGACTTAAGCCCCCCTTGTGTATTCAAAAACAGTTTGTTGTTACATTATATATGTCCAAACCAAGTTCACTTTTAACGGTTTGTTGTTACTCTTAACCTACCTTGTTAATCCTTATTTGATTGGATTACCAAACGTTTGTGTTAATTATTCTTAATTCCTTTTTCTCTCAATTTGTTTAATTTAACCTTTCTATATATATTGACTTGACAAGTAAATGCGTGATCAGATTGTTCGAAATGTATAGCGCTAATACATCACATTTTTCAGATAGTCTCTGTCTTCTAATAACGCTATCAAAATTTATAAAAGGGACTAATTGTTTTATATAAGGATCAGTTCCAACAAATATATGAACTACGAGTGGTGACTGGTAATCTGTTAGCAGAATTATTAAGTGAATAATATTCATTTACGCACATCTAAATTTCATAATATTGAAATTAAAAACAATTATTTCCCTTTATGAATTTAAACAAAGCAGTAAGAAGACGTAATTTGTCTGAATCATGTAATGTGTTTGGGCAACACATTTCAAACAATCTGATCACACACACGGACTTGTGATAGGAATATATATGAAATTAATAGGGTTAAGAGGTGGGAAAATAAATTTAAGTCAAGTTAGAAGGACATTTTGAAGGTGAAAATAACAATGAAAATCACTAAACCAAATAACAGAGGTAACAGTACATCTACCATGTCTGGTGTCAAAACAAAGTTTACTAAGGAAGGTTCAGTGTGATGATGAAGTGTTTTTGAACGCATAAGAGTAGTTTAAACCTCCTAATTACCAGCTGGGGCTTCCACAAACTTTAGGATATGCCCCAAAACATTCTATAAGTAGGTGCGTCGGTGGCACAGAGGTTAGGACGCCCGCCGGCCATGCACACGATCCGGGGTTCGATCCCCTGCCGACGCACACTCGATATCAATGGTCGGCCTGCAAAATTTGGGCTACCGATATCACATGCTGAAAATTTCATACTTGTATCAAAGATACTATGTGGAGTCAAGCTATAATAAAAAGGTATAAACATCAATTTTATGTCCTGTCTCTATAATATGTATAGCAATAGAGGAGCTAGGTCTCCTGTTCTCACCGTTGATGGGTTCTAGGGATTCTATTTGTTTCTGGAGCCATTTAGGAATGTGCTTTGAAGCCCCTTGAAATACGAGGAAACTTCGTAAAACACAGATGAATAATAAGACTGAATAACAAGATTTTAACATGTCTGATGTAAACTCATGGGATATTTTGAACACTCCGAACCAGGATTCATACAAAGCCATGATTTTTCGATTTTCAAGTATCCTCAAGAGAAAACTAACAGTATGCTATTGAGTTGGGTCCCAGTGTCCGAATCGTCTATGAGCTTGCGTTGTAACTGGGAGGTCCTTGGCTCGATGAGTATCAAGTTAGGACGAGATGGCTGTCCAGTACTCCCTACTGGTTTTCAGTGGTTCTCTAACTGATATCAATCTGTGGGAAAACTTGAAAAAGGACAATAGTAATAAAAAGAAATTGTAAAGAAAAAATGGAAGGGAAAGAAAGGAAAATTAGAGGTAAAATAAAAGTTTGCTAACAAGGTAGACTTCAGCTAACTACTACTAGTATCCTTTTGTATGCGTAGATCGGGTCTCTTCCATTTGATTCGTAAGCTTCGGTAAAACTAAGGGCTTTTATTATTACTTAGCTTATTAAATAACTATAGAGGTTTTACTCAACGTCACAGTTCAATAAATGTCATGTGACTGAGCTTCTTGGGATGCTATCATGAATGACTAGAATGCAATTTGGGTTCGCACAGCCGAACACTTTCACAGTTCGTTTGTTTCTCAAGCCATCTGTGACACTTTCACGTGCAAAGCGCGATTACTCCTGCTCATATACGTATGGGCACACACACATGTAAATTAGTTTGCAGTATGGGGGATGTGACATAATCACTTGTGCAATGTTGAGACTTGAAGTATTAATATTCCCTTGGTTTCCGAGTGGAAAATAGGTCATCGGAAAACACATTTTCATTTTTGTTTTACTATTTGGTACTGTCCTCTTCAGCTGGGTTCACGATTGCCCATAATCTCTCATCTCCTCCATGTCACTAGCGCACCGACAACCCACTCGAGCGACGGCCTCCTCAGCGTATGCTCAATCCATCCGCATTCTCTCCCACACATGTGCTGAGCAATCGGCTCTTGGTTGGTTTGTTCCCAACAAGAGTTTCCTGTTGTTGATTCTTTGTGAACCGCCGGCCATTTGATCTTCAGTATGGAGCGAAGGCAGCTGTAGTACAGTATGTTTTTGACTTTTTCGATAATTACAAGCCAGGCTGCATATCAAATTTTACAAATGACTGAATTTAGTCTCTGTCTTAAAATCCTACTAATTTATTTCATTATTGCAAGGTAATTCGATGTAGGCATCTTTATTTGGATGTAATAGACAGTAGGCTCTCTGGTTTCCAGTGGATTTTCTAAATGCTATTGGATCGTGGTGAAATATATTTTGATATATAATAAAAATAAGAAAGAAATAATACCACTGCAATAAGTATCGTATCTAGGGAAAAGTATTTCTCTACGATTCAAGTACATACCTTGTAATCATGCATAAGCTTGATCAATGCATCACGAAGCCCTGGTATAGTCATATCTGGTGATATTTTACGTAGTAGTAAACGTGAATCAAGACCTTCACAGCCTGCATTTTGTAGTAATGCACATATAAAAGCAGGTTTATCAGCTGCAAAAAGAATAACCTGTTGCCATAGTTCACCAGCATTTTCATCACCTTCATCTTCGTCGCCATCTTTTTCAAAAGTAGAATTACTCAGATGTCGATGAAAATGATGTTTACTTTTTGTATGAATACCATCTTCTTCTCGACAATATTCAATTGCTTTTGCAGCAGCTATAGCTTGACATTGTTCTTGTGTAGTTGGTTTACCATTTGATAAATCTTCACCGCCCTATTTATGTGCGTTATAAAAAGAGGATATTAGAAATAAAATTACATTTAAGGTGAACAAGTTAATTGCACGAAGTGTTATTAATGCCTGTCCTTTATGTGTACACAAAAACATTAAAGTTTTGAAGCAACATGTTTCTATAGTGACAGTAGTTAGTTGAAATGACACGACATGACAGTTAGACGATAATGTCTAACGGATTTCAATCTGTTGATTTCATACCAGTGTGATGAGAACTGTCTGCAAGACAAAAATTTAGGCAACAACTGACATCAATATTTACGTCCCAAATCTTAGTCATGAGAAAAAAAACAAGAACAAAGCCTAACCTTGAGGAAGTCAACAACCAATCACAGCAGACTTAGCGTGGGCGAATACGATTAGCAGAAACAGCAACAAAGAGACGACAAAATAACCTTCAGCAAGAAAACAACCAATCAGAAGACGTTACCTCTCTGCTAATAATAACGAATATTAATGTACATAAAAATCTATAAATATCTGTTGCCTAACCCTTGTCTTCTGGCGTTACACCAGTAAAGGAAAACTTTCCGGGACAGTTATTCAATCATTTCTATTGCACAGATTTTCAGCTGATTCGAAACATAAAGCTTCCTTTGCCAGTGTCACCCTCCACCCTGTTAAATTAGATTTTAAGAATATCATCTTATTGTATGGTTGTCTGTAATCGCTGTTCTATTCTCCAGATATCTTATTTTATTAGAGTCAACTAATATGGATTTTCATGTGTTGATTTGCTGAGATTTGATTGCTCAGCGGATTTTACCATGAGGTAATATCGGTTGGAGAACCATTAGAAATCCCTGCAAACAATCAGTTGAATATCAGTGTGATCCTCACTGGCGACTGGCCTCATTCAAGTAAGTAGTTACCTGGATTCTAGTCAGAAGTCGTCATCAGTAGGATACAGCACATCGGGTGTGGGGAGAAATACTCACCAATGACACTTGTTAGTGCCAGTCGCGCCATGTCGTGAATTGGCAAACAATAGGATTCATAAGCCGTTGGGTCGCGTCCCGGTGGCTTAATGGTCCACGAGCTAGCCTCACAACCATAAAATCCTGATTCGAACCCCGGTGGAGGTGTACTGATGAAGAGTCCCAAACCAGGACGAAACAGCTGTCTAGTACTCTCAGGTTTCCCAGTTGTTCTCCAAACGATTTCAGCTCATGACGAAATCCTGTAATAAATTTAGATATTGTTAAGCTCTTGTGCTGCCCTAGTTGATCAACCCCGCCCTACTATTCTGAGTTGATAATCATTGGAGAGTTTCAGATGAACTGATTTGTTTTGTTTAATAGGCTTCACAGGTTCTGATATGGTTTATTTCTAAGTGGGTTTATGGGTTTGAGTGTCATTTTTATTCATTTTCATTTTACCTGTGTGTTAAACTAAACACGCAGAGATTTCCTTTCGACTATTAGATACAACCCACTGACTTTCACAAAACAGGTGGGGTGGACTACTTCTCATACATTTCACATCACTATGAAGAATAATAACAGTAATTTATTATATAAAACATTTATGTAAATCAACTTCACCAGAGTTATGTGTGATGTCACACAAAATCGAAGACCTACGAGCGAAAACCGACAAAGTGGTCGAAGACGCAGCCGGCGAAGACAGGTGAACATAGACAAGACGGAGGTTATGAAAATAACCAATCAACAACAACAGCAGCAACATCCAGCGCCAATCACCATCAAAGGGAGGGATTTGAAAGAGGTTACTTCATTCACTCACTGATCTAGGGAGCCTTGTCTCAACTACAGGCAGTCGGAACGGACGAGGATGTCAAATCGAGAATCGGGAAGGCGAGAAACACATCCATCAACCTGAAACCAATCTGGAAATCTTCGTCACTCAGCATCAACAATAAAATTCAGTCGGATTTTTAATACAAACGTAAAGTCAGTCAGTTCTTCTACACGGATCAGAAACTTGGCGGGTGGGCCACAAAGAATATTTCCAAAAGCCTGTTGCAGACCTTTATCAACAACTGTCTTCGCTCTACACTGAAGATCAGATGGCCGGGCTGGAAAGAATCACCAACAAGAAACTATGGGAACAAACAAAACACGAAGCAATCGCCAACCAACAAATATGCAGGAGAAAGTGGACTGAGATGGGTTGGATACTCGCTGAGGAGGCAGGCCGCTGGGTGACATCGCGCGCGTATCAGGCCATTGCTCGAGTGGAACCAGGCCGAAAGGGAAGCGGCGAGTGGGACGACGTTGCTAGGGCGACATGGAGGGGATTGTGTGAAGAGAAGTTGAAACAATATGGACTAACGTGGATGCAGGTGAAAAGTACAGCAGAAGGAAGACAGAAGCAAGTGGAGACGTGCAGTTGAAGCCCTATGTTCCACTAGGAACCCAAGGGAACAAGAATAATAATAATAATAAACTTCACCAGAGGAATATAATATCATCATTACAAGGAACAACAATTACTTACCCGTGTCATAATTAATTGTAAAGCATCATGACGTCTACCAACTCTAGTTAATAAGTATACAGTTTCTGGGACAAGTTTAGCACGTTCACATAAGCTTAAAGCTTCACTTAATGGATATTTGTCTGTTGATCGTAATAAAGGCAATAGTTTATTACGACAAAATTTGATGTATAATGATATTAGATGAGTTAAATATGGATAAACTATTTGTGGATATCGGGAATATACAGTATCCAAAAACTAAAATAAAAACATAAGATAAGATTAGGATTACAGACAATACAAAAGGAATGTACACAATATACATGAATTCAACTTCAATTTAAGAACACATCTTTCATAATCAAATACAAGTAGGTGACACAGGGTCAGGCTGGAGAAGAGCTAGCGGTGGTCAAACCAAAACATGGCTTCACCAGTCAGTGAAATCCACAACAGTTAGTTTAAGCCAGTCACGTAGAAAGGTGTAGACTTCCTGGTTGGGGTCCCAGGGACGGTAAAAACCAATGGTTGGAAACAGTTGGTGACATGGCTCAAAATCGTTCTCAATAGCAGGCGCAGATGCATCCACTCCTTGTGACTTATGATTTCCAATCAAACTGTTTTGTTCTTCGTTACTACTATTCCTTTGTCTCACACCTCTGCTCACTGTTTCGATTATGCATTTCTTTCTACATTCTTCTCTTGCTTTGTGTGCTACATGGAGGGAGTGTGGCGACTTGAACTGCCGCATATATGTGCAAACTTCTATGTCGAAAACAGACAGACAATACAAGAGTGAAATAATTTAACTGAATTTTAGATTTTCCCGTCGATTGATTGGATCGAAGTGATCTGTCTCAGGTTGACATGTCGGCTTCTTGTGCAGATGCCTCGACAATGTCTAGGCATGTAATTAGAAGTTAACTGGTGGATGGTGACTAGCAGTGGAATCCAGGATGTGCGACATGTCAACCTGTGACCGAACACTTCGGTCCAATCAATCGACAAGAAAAACTAAAATTGAATTAAATTATCAGTTGTTGGATTTTCGTCATAAATCAACATAAGTTAGAGAGACCACTGCAAAGTAGGAAGTAGTGGACAGTTGTTTCATTTTGGTCTGAAACTCTTCGGCAGTGCAAATCTAGAACCTCTCTACCATGTCAAGCCGAAGTCGATGCTTATCTATGGTACTGGTTGATATGTATCCATATAATAATGTGTGTTTGTTTGACAGTCTGTCCTTGGTGATATATATCCATATAATATGTGTGTTTGTTTGACAGTCTGTATATTTGTTATGTATATATGGATCGATATTCCACTATAATTAGCCAATCATGTTAAGACTGTCTATTGATTTGTTCATTTTGAATATTCGCTCACACACTTGTTCGGACATACATATTCCTGCTCTCACACTCTTGTGTGGCATTTGATTCTCCTTGTGTTTGGAAAATAGAAGTATCATCGCAAACCTAGTGGTCTTCTGATTTCCGTCTTTCTTGCGTCAGGACTATTAAATTCTCGACCAGTACATAACACTGGTGAAGGCAGCAGTGAATCCAGCTGGATTCCACTGCTAGTCACCATCCACCAGTTAAAGAGTGAAATAAATTTCTAACTGGAAATATATAGTATTCTGATTTGACACTAGTAACTAGTGTGATGTGTCTAGTCCTCTGATTGGTGCAGATTGAATTCTATCAGTCAGGTTGTAATGTGGCCACCATTCTAGGTAGCTCGCCATCACGGTGCAAATTGATTTGATGGTATTAGATGGTTGGAGGCAATCGGCAGGAAGCCTAGCCTTGGACCTAGGTTTCGTGCTAATTGGCACTCACCAGTCAGCAAGGCGTATCTGCAACCTTGAAGGAACTCATGTCCCTTCTGAGATTCGAACCCGCGTAGTGGATATCCACTACAGTCCTACAGGAGGTCAATCGCGAGCCCGAATAGCTCAGTGGTAACGTCTCTGACTGCAGCACTGGGTGACGCGGGTTCGAATCTCAGAAGGGACATGAGTTCTCCCAAGGCTGCAGTTACGCCTCGCTGACTGGTGAGTGCCAACTAGCACGAAACCTAGGTCCAAGGCTAGGCTTCCTGCCGATTGCCTCCAACCATCTAATACCATCAAATATATAGTATTCATTGGACTGAAAGCACACATATGCACAGAGGTGGTCAGCAGTGAAGTCATTCAAAAAAGGAATTACCGTGAATTGTTTTTTATTAGAATGACAATTCGTCTGGCATCTTAAGCACAACAGATGTTAGATACGTCGATGGAATAAAAGTTTTACACAGAAAGAGAATGATGAAGTATAATTGTAAATATAAATTTTATGATATGATGAGATGTCATTCCACAGGAGATATTTCTTGGTGTGATTTAAGAATTCAATGTGACAAGGTTGTGAGTACGAATTTTTTCAGAAAAATCATTCACAATAGAAACACTTCATATGGTGATTCGCTGTCATTACTGTTCTATTTTTGAAGATGTAGTAACAGTACCTCTAATCAAAATGTCGACAGCGTTAGACTGACTCACAACGATAAAACACTGCAGAAGTGTCAAGAAGTACACGAAAGTAGAGAAGAGAAAGGTAGTGATGTGGCGAGAGCAGGCTGTGAGAAAATATGTACAAGGCTGATTCAACAACCAATCACAGCAAAGTTAACGTGGCAAAATATGATTCGCAGATAAAGAACTCTATTTTTCGAGGGATCTCGAAACAACCAATCAGAAGCCTGCGTTTGTCTGCCTAACTTCTGATAAACAACCAATCAGATGACTGCGCTTGTCTACTTGCATAAGCTATAATAATGCATGTGAAATATATATAAATACGTGTTGATTTTCATAATAAAACGATCTGTTGCCTGGCCCTTGTCTTCTGTTGTTACAGAGAGACTACAGTGGACTAAAATGTACGGAAGAGGAAGACAGAGAATTCGATGAAGGTTAGTGAACGAATGGAATGTTGCCCAACAACCATTTGCAGTTCCATGAAGTTGACAATAAACCATACCCTCTGCGTGAAGCCCAGTGATACAACCTGGCTACTTAAGCCTCCGTAGGTGAAGGGAGGTTTGAACCTATAACCCACTGGTTGAATGTGGAGTTACAGCTTCACAAACTGAAAGTGGTGTCAAGAGTGGGGGATCGAACCCACACCTAAGCTTTGGACCGTCTGACCATCTTGGCCATATAAGAATTTTCATAATCCGGATGTGATAACAAGAGGTGAATACATCTGCGTCACTGCGAAAGATTTTGGAACACATGACAGATAATTCCCACCGATCGATTCGCAGTACACACTGGGGGTCCCGGCCAGGCAGCAAACACCGACAGCTGAAGGCTTCAGTGATTTGTGCTACAATTTGATTTTAAGAACCTTAACTCTTTTCTTACTTTGTACGATTTCAGGCTAACGCTAACCGCTGCAGGTAGGCGGTGACTAGCAATAAGTAACATAAGTCCCGACAACCTCGATCAACGGGGCTTCACAAGCTAATGAATTGGTATACACTCCTTACCCAGTACTTTAAGCCTAACCTCATTATTACTGAATATATTCGATAAGAAGCAGCTAAAAATAGTGGTCAACTTGTGATTCATCATATGATCAAATGACCGTAAAATTTCATCATCTTATTTTTTCACCTTGGTCCTAGGTTAATTGCCGACCAATCAGAACAATCTATATTCCACTAACCCTAGTCAAATTTTATTGTGGTTAGGAATGTATATAAATATGATATGCTTTTTACTCCTAATAAATTGGTATCCTAACAGTCGCAAACTAGTCTTTCTTTGTCTGCTGATATTCACGTGGCTTAGTCAGTCGGAAGGTACTAAGGGACGAATAATCCTGTCTAGCATATCAGCTGAGTAATCCATTGAATTGGTATTATTAAACCCACGCATGAGTCCACTCAGTCATATTCACTGTCGATGATATTACATCAATGGATGACGGATTCACAACAATATTGCACCAGCTACTACCGGATTGGAAGGATGCATCTACGGTTAGAAGCCACTAATCTTTTCCTATCTCCTAAACTTAACAGCCGTCTTTCACAGTCGTAAAGTAGGGGGTGTGTGAAATACTCCACACACTGTACATGTCGGTTGATACCTAAATGGATATCATGCCCGTGTCAAAATATGATACAAGTTAGTGAATGTCAAACGAACCTTTCGTGTTCGTGTTGGAACTTCGTCATCGGCTAGCATAATTAGAGGTGTTGAAACTTCGCAAAAAAAAGTAAAGGGGTCAGCTATTTCACTTCATGCATCTAAACCAGGAATGACTGAGAACCAATGCTGCAGCAGTGCCTTGCACTTAACAAAGGGTAAATTACATACCCACCTCTTTCTTTAGTCTCTCGTCTTCTACCAGGTTTTCAAAAACGTGTGACAAAAGTTTCAATATAGTGAAACACTTTTTTGATCCACAAAAAAAAACAAATAGACAACACTAGTCTAAGTGATTTATCGATCAAACACTTGTTGAAACTAATAATTACGTGTTGTTACCATGGTAATGTGTTTTTGTGAAAGTGTTAACCTTTTGAACTGATGAAAAAAAATCATGTTTATAAAGTATTCCAGTTTGATCACGAAATTACATCACTCAGAAAACATTCAGGGAGTACTGGAGGGCTGCTTAGTCACAGTTTGGAACTCCACAGCAATATGCACCCGCAGGGTTCGAAACTAGGACGTCCCGGTTACAAGGCGAGCTCGTACACCATTCTGCTACTGGGACCGATGCAATGGTCAATTAACAGACACACTGACATAGACAAAATTTGTCAATCTAAAAGAAGAAAATCTTGTACATGGAGGGTAAAACTTCAGGTCAAGGAAACAATCAGTACCAATATAAGTAGTCTAGAGAGTGTGAGAACACACGAAAACGACCAATCACGTCCAAGGTCCCCAGGGGAGATGACTTATAAACTTGTGAAGAAATCTAATGTTCATAAGTATGACTGTATTAAAAACCTTGTTAAAAAAAGAAAATATTATCAGCCCAACTTCATACAAGCCCTTTTGAATTTCCCGAGTTCATTTTCGCGAGATTCTACATGGTCAAACGGCCTAGGATTTTAGTCAGGTTCATCTCACTCAGATTAGCATTCATTTGATTCATAAATACTAGCTGATACTTTAGCATAACCTGATCAATAATTTATCATCAGAATCCCTTAAACTTTTATATACAGTCGTACTGTGGCGAGTGCTACTGATAAGATTTATCAGTAGTATATGTATAAGGAGACATTCATTGGCACAAAAAACATCAAATAGTAGGGACATACATTTCATTTCACAGAAGGCAAGTGATACAGCATTGTAAAGATATATGGGGGACGTGAAAGGAACACAAAGAAACACAACATGAAGTCCAGATGTAGCACAACACGGAAGATCTGTGCAAGTGGTGCGTTGAAGATAAGGTACACATAATTTGGCTATATTATTATTATATTTATTATTATTTCCTTTAATTCCTGTAGAAACATAGGGCTTCAGCCGCGCGTCTCGATTGCGTTCGGTTCTCGACTAGAGTTTTCATCTGGCTCCAAGTCTTTCCACATGCTTTCATCTCGTCTTCACATGAACGCCTCCAGCTCGCCGCTTCCCTTTCGGGTTCCACTCGAGCAATGGCTTGATGGTCTCCTCAGCGTATAGCCAATCCATCTCCATTTCTTCCTGCCTATTTGTTTCACAATCGGTTCCTGGTTGGTTTGCTCCCAGAGATCCCTGCTGCTAATCTTTTTTGGCCATCTGATCTTGAGTACTGAGCAAAGACAACTGTTAATGAAGGTCTGAAGTTTGTTGGAGATGCTCATTATGACGCGCCAAGTCTCTGATCCATCCTTATAGTAGCACTGACTGACTTCAGATTGGAGTTGAAAATCCGGATCTTAATTTTCATTCTGAGTGCTGTTGACCTCCACACAGACCTGAAAGTAATGAAGGCTTGTCTTGCTTTCCCGATCCTCGCTTTGGTATCCTCGTCAGTTCCGCCTGTAGTTGAAACGATGCTTCCCAGGTAGGTAAAGGAGGTTGTTTCTTTCGGATTCATCCCATTTATGCTGACTGTTGTCTGTTGTTGTTTCCGTTGGTGTTGGCCAGGAATCTTCATCACCTCTGTTTTCTCAATGTTCACCTGAAGGAGGTCCTATCTTTGATGCTTCTTTTTCCAACTTGTTGCTTTTCACTTGCATATCTTATTTGGCTATATAGAGATACTAATTTGCAAATAAACATTTCCTTTAACCAAATCTTAGTCTTCTGTTGTTTCAGTACCGTCAGTTTTTGTCACTTTACTTTACTGTAGAGTAGAGAGAGCTTTTTTATACATCAACTACAATTGGAAGATGAGTGCTGAATAATGAGAAAGTGTAGCACAACTGTTAATCATTTAAAAATATCTCCAAAAAGTGTTCTGTCCATCATTCAAACTATTTCTCTCGAGAGGTTATTAAAGCTTCATCCTTCTTGAAGATCGTTTCTTTTAGTATACCTTTTGCAAAACCCGTTTCCCTTCTTTACCCACCACTGTTGGAGGTCGTTAAGATTTCCAGTCAGGTAACTTTTGAAATAGTGTTCTTCCTCCTAGGATCAGGATCCTTGTATGAATCTAAAGTTATGGAAACCCACCGACATTGACGGAACATTTACAAGAGCCTATGAAAACTGAACAGTAAAGCCGCTTATGGCTTTTTTCAAAAATGTTCTTCTAAAAATCACTGAGTCTCTGTGAGTTCCTTGCAACATCTCGACGTCCATCGGGACATTCAGGCAGATAGTGAGTATAACAATATCCTCAAAGCCTCTAATGCCTTAATATCAAATAGCGATCAATGTGAGGAGAGTAAATATTTGCTAAACATTTTTGTAACTTTTCTATTCATATACAGCCAAGTTTACTGACGTATTTAGTGCCTTCCTTTTAACTCTTCAAGTATTCATTCAGTTAAGCATTATGCTGCGTTGCCTTATCCTGTCACTAAATAAATAATTAATGCTCACTGGCGACTGGCCCTATTCAGGTAGGTAGTTACCTAGGGTTCCAGTGGGAAGTCATGACCAGTAGGGTGCAACAGGTCGGGTGTGAGGACGAATACTCGCCGAAGACATTGGTTAGTGGTTGGGCTATATCGTGAATTGGTAGAAGTTAGAATTCATCGGCCAATGGATCGCGTCCCAGTGGCTTAATGATATACGAGCTCGCCTTGTAACCATAAGGTCCTAGGTTCGAAACCCGGCGGGTGTGTACTGATGAAGAGTCCCAAACTAGGACGAAACAGTTGTCCAGTACTCCCAGGTTTTCCAATGGTTCTCTAACCAATGTCAACTCATGATGAAATCCTGTAACCAATTATTAAACTATTTTGAGGGTTGTGTATAGTTGACAAGAACCAACAGAATAAATTGATACCATGTTATCTCATTCACAATTTATTGATGTTTTTCGCTTTATTCAAATGAAGTAATTTAATTAACTTACTTGATATAGTTGTATGGAATCTGGATTGAGTTGATTTACAACATAATCCACCTGATAAATAAAAAAGAATGAAAAGTAACACTGATTACTGGATAGTGAGCTCCTGAAAAAAAACACTGACAAACTGAAATTATACAAAAATCTACGTTGTTTAAAAATTAATGTATTGGGAATTGATTTATTCCACGTTTTATCACGATCCATCTGGTCAGGCATGAGGACGAATACACACCGATGATAGTGGCTAGTGGTTGCGATAAAATCATGAATTGGTAGAAGTAGGAATTCATTGACAGCTGAATCTGATCCGAGTGACTGAATGGTCTACATACTTACCTTGCAACTTAAAGGTCCTAGGGATTCGAAACTTGCTGGTAGGTGCGTGCCAATGAAGAGTCCATGACTAGGATGAAATAACTGTCCAGTATTCCCTACTGGTTTTCAATGGTTCTTTTAACTGATATCAATCAACAACAGAGCTTGAAACTTAAGTTAATTAAGAACTTATTTAGAAATTCATACAACTAGGTAAGCTTATAGTAACGCCACTTATAATGGTTATTCCCAAGAAGGTAGTGATCAGAACATTCTAATTACTGTTTCGCAGTGAAAGGTTTACTAAACCAGTTCAAAAACACAGATATATGCTTTCAAAGACATTGACAAGACAGATGGTATTCATCATTATTGATACGAATAGTTGGGATAGTTTTGAATTGTCAGTAAACTACTCATATCAGAATCATTTTCTAATTCAATGAAAGGAATTTCATTCTAAATGGTTACAATCTATGAAGCTACATCGACTGAGATGGTTAGGACATGTGCTACGCATGCCTAGGCCTAGCCATCACCTCCTTGACCAACGGGCAATGTAAGCTGAAATAGGATGGATCAGGTTGGAAAAAAGCTAGCGGTGGTCAAACCAAAAAATGGCTTCATCAGTCAATGAAATCCACAGCAGTTATCTTAAGCTAGCCACGTAGGGAAGTGTAGACTTCTTGGTTGAGGTCCTCGGGACAGTAAAAAACAATAGGTGGAAACAATCGGTGACATGGCTCAAAATCGTTCTCAATGGCTGGCGCAGATGCATCCACTCCTTGTGACTTATGATTTCCAATGAAACTACATTGTTCTTCTTTAATTGAATTTTTGATTTTCCCGTCGATTGATTGGACCGAAGTGCTGGGTCTCAGGTTGATATATCGGCTTCTTGTGCAGATGCTTCGACGATGTCTGGGTATGTAATTATAAGTTAATTGGTGGATGGTGACTAGCAGTGGAATCCAGGATGCGCATTTCGTCCTATTTGGGACTCGTCATCTGGATGTACCTGCATTTCTCAGTGAGTGATGATGTTCCCACCGAGGCTCAAACCCAGTGCCAATAGCTTCGAACGCCAAAGAGTTAACCACTAAACTACTTGGGCCCAAGTCACCATCCACCAATTAAATACATTGTTCTTCGTTATCACTATTCCTTTGTCTCACACCTCTTTTTACTGTCTCTATTATGCATTTCTTCTACTTTCTTCTCTTGCTTTGTGTGCTACGTGGAGAGAATGTGGAGACTTGAACTGCTGCACATCGATGCAAAGTTCTACGTCGAAAACAGACAGACAGACAATCTATGATTTAAGCAACATTTGTTGTAACAAGTAAAAGTGCTATCATTCATATACGTGTTAAACATTTGTTGACTTCAATCCACTGTAACTTAGACTAATCGAAAATGTTTCCCCTTAGAAATATCCTAAATCAATTCAGTATTCTTGTATGAAGTAAACTTGAATAGTAATTTGTGTAAGTATGCACGATATTCTTATTATTTTTTAAAATAATAAACGTCAATTGAAATATGTATTGCACATAATTATCAGTGGACATTTTGTGTCGGTGGTTTAGTGGTAGAACGAATGCTCGTCACCCACGACTCACTTGGTCCAGCGTTCAATCAATGACTGGCGAACTCCTAAAACCTCGTTTAGGCGGTAATTAGACCAAGCGGTAAGGAGGGAAAGTCGGACGTGAGGCCAACAATCGCACCCTGTAAAACTGAGAAACTTCAAAACTCAAAGCCCTATGATGTCACATTTGGGACGCAAATGACTGAAGTACATTTATGGCGTTAAAAAAGGATCTGATTTTTTGGGTTTCGTGGCGTACAGTATTTGAGGAGAGCAGGTAGTGGAAACTTTCGTAAGACAATAGAAAAGCAGCAAATAAAATGACCAAATGAGGAAAAACGTCAGCAGCTTTATCAGAAAAGCGATTTCATTGTATCATATTTGTTGCCAAGGTTTGTTGCATTAGTAGACTTAATATCGTTGGAACAAGAGATAGGCCTTTTTAAAGTAACTATCGAAAACGTATAATCAACCTGGATTATACACATGAAAATAACTAGCCAAAATCTTTCAAAAAGTAACATACTGTCTATGATTTCATAGGTGACGATAGCAATTTTAGTACCAAAGTTCAAACTAAAGCAGAATTTTAAAGATATGACTTCGTATTTGGGAAATTTTATGGGTGTGCACTAATTCAACTGCTTCAGTATGACTAGGTATGTCAATAGATAGATCAGAGCAGATCTCTTATCCAAAAGATTTGAAGTATACGAATGTGGGCGGCCACAGACAGGTAGGTGATAGACAGTGAATCAACAATTTTTATAGCAGTAGTGTAGTTGCTATAACATTTGTGCCTCATTTATTTGGTGGTATTGTTGTACAGCGATGGTGTAAGATTTGGACACTTCTCTAGCCGGGACCAGTTCTTGTTGAAAACTGTCTTCGCCATTTCCTTATAACTTCACATATGAAATTGTAAGAAGACATTTACTTAAGCCTTTAACCTGATCAAACTTGATAACTGAATTCATTCCTTTTGAAAAACTCTAGGGCCTATATAAGCGACAAACAAATCGATACCAGCCGACCGTATTGTTGAAGATAAAAATGGTAACCCCTTCATCATCTCAGTTTAACGACTTTGAAAGACACAGCTATACACATTCGGAGACATTGACTGACTGGTTTGAGTATAGAACTTTGTACAGATGTGTGGCAGTTCGAGTTACCCCACTCCCTCATTGTACCACACAAAGCAAGACAAGAGAGTAAAGAGAGAATCAAAAGAGAGGAAGAAGATAATAGACAGAAATATGGGACAGAAAGAATATTAAAGTGGAAGAACAACAGAATTTTATTGGATATTATAAGTCACAAGGAGTGAATACATCTGAGCCATTGACAACGAGGATTTCGAGCCATATCACCGACTGCCTCCAGTCTTTATTGGTTTTTACGATCACGAGGACCCCAACCAGTTAGGAAATAAACACCTCCCTACGTGGCTAGCTTAAGATAACTGTTGTGGATTTAACTGACTGATGAAGTCATGTTTCAGTTTGACCACTACTAGTTCTGTTACAACCTGATCCTATTTCAGCTAACTTTTCGCACAGAGGAAAGCAATGGCTAGGCCTGCGTAACACATGTCCCAACTAACTCATTCGATTTAAATTCACGACCTCGTCGATTGATTTTCCCTCCTTACCAAGCACTCGACCGATGCCTTATCTCAATACAACTCACCTTGTTATAACACTTAACACAGGAAATGTAAAGGAAACTTTGAGAAGTAAATTTACTCAATGCATACTACATAATCTTGGACTGTATAAAGCCATATACAATACAGCTTCAAGGAAACATGCTTAGGAAACTAGAACTTAGGTTCTAAAACATTGTATGCATACTCTATCACAATCTCCAAGCATAATTCTTCTCATATAAACAGCTTTTTTCTCCTGACGTATTTATCTTTAAAACTATGTTACTATAGAGGTAAAAAACCGAACCTACGACAACCTGATACCTTAGTGGACAACTACCATGAATAGTCTTCACAAATTAACATTCTACCGGAAGCAACTGTTTCATATTTCTCACAAATTATCTCTCTTTAGCATAACTTGAAGTTAACAGGGCCTGTAAGTCAAGAATGCTAACGCGACATGTAGCTTGACATTCGTGTTTCTTTTTTGAACTCAAGTTAAAGCATAAATAAATGTTTTCGGCAACTTCTTCACCAAGTGCTCTACAGTTATATGAATCCATGATTGGTAGAATAAAAAATAGCCAATAAGGCCGAGTGAAAATTATATCAGAAACTGTCATTTACACTAAGCTTATCGTGTCTCTAGTATTTCATTACAGTTCAAAATTTAACCTCTTTATTTTATCATTAAACTTTCTAACTGTCACTCCTTGGACTTGAATTCAGTGTTGTTGTTTTTTGGTGTATTTTTTGGTGGTAATCAAATTTCTCTGACACTACTGAACATAACTCACTACCACTCTCAAATGAAACTTATATTCTGTTGACTATAAATAATACATTAGTATGTCATCACCAAGTTATCTATTCACATTTTATCTTATTTTGATTGACTGTACATTTTAATAAGCATTTGATTGACAATGTTAACTACTAATGGACAATGATTCTATTTCATACATGCATTCAAATACTCCAATTCTGATATAATTTCGATTCAGTCTTGCTGGCTATTTGTATTCAAATATTATTCATGGATTTATATAACTGTAGAGTGTCTGAGGAAGAAGTCATCGAAAACAAAATTGTTCACTTAAAAATCATTCTCTTCTGATCACATACACACACACACACACTATGGGGATTTTTAATTTTTGAAGTATTGGTTTTGTAGGGATTTTCTATTTCAATGGTTGGAGAATTTCATCATGAGCTGATATCAGTTAGAGAACCACTGGAAAACCTGAAAGTACTGGATAGCAGTTTTATCCTAGTTTGTGACCCATCAGCAGGGCGCACCCCACCAGGGTTTGAACAGCAGGTCAAAAATGAGGACAGTTAGTCATCGAAGAAGACATTGCGAAATGGTGGTGCTCTGTCGTGATTTGGCAGAAGTTAGAATTCATAAGCCATTGGATCGAGCTTCACTGGCTTAATGGTCTACAAGTTCGCATAGTAACTAGAAATTCCTGCGTTCATACCCTGTTGGATGCTCGCTGACGAAGGGTCTCAAACTAGGACGAAACAGGTGTCCAGTACTCCCAGATTTTTAATTTACAAATAAACTTTAAACGAAATTTTTTTATTATAGCTTGATTCCACACAGTATTTTGGTACAAGTATGGAATTTTCAGCATGTGACATCAGCGGCCCAAATTTAGCAGGTCGAACATGGATATTAGGTGTGCGCTAGTCGGGGATCAAACCCCGGACTATGTACATAATCGGCGAGCGTCCTAACCACCGTGCCACCGACGAAGTAGGTGAACTATGAGGAAGGTAGTGTTCATTGACAATGAATACATTTCTGACAAGACAATTTACTATGCTCCTAGAAGAATTGACTATTACAGCAATTCCACCCTAAAGGAAGTCAGATACGGGGTGGCCTACAACAAAATTGTAGCGTTTTATTATATATTTTATTCCTGGGCGTTTCCAGTGGGAATATAGGATTTCAAGCTACTGCTATAAAGTTTCAGTAGCAGTGGCTCTTTCTACGTGATGAGGTTGCTGATGTCATCCTCAACCTTCCCGCTTTATCGAACTTATTACGAGGAGTGCGTCGATTGGGAATCGAACCTCGGACCACTTGATTAATTCGCCAGTATTCTACTCGTGAAGCATCAACATTACAATTTTATGGTAGGAATGAAATATTTAATTTTCGCTTAACGACTACACACTACTGGTGTAAATTCGCAGAGAATATACCTGCGAGTTAGAATAAAACAAACTTTATATAATTCTATAGAAAGAAATATAAATTACTTTGAAAAAAATTAAAATAAAATAAAAACAATTACGAATTTACCGAAACATGATCAATATGATCTAATAGCATATAAATTGCTTGCGTTGAATCTAATTCCATGAAATGAACTAAATGATCTTTAAGTATATCGATGAGTCTTCGATCTTTAAGTTTCATAGAATTACGTTTCAAAAGACTGAAAACTTGTGTATCACGTAAACGAATTAAAATATTTATGGCTTGTTCATAAGATCCCATTTGTTCATATGCAACTGCTAAACTATGATACAAAGCTTGAACATCTAAATCCAATTTGCTTATATCAATAGCTTCTACAGGAAAACAAAAAACAATAACGAAAAACAATGACATCTCTAAAAAGTAAGTAATCGATTAAAAGCAAATTTGAGGATAATCAGAATCAGCCAATGAAGATTTCAACTGGAATAATTGATTTCCCAACTGATTCACTGTATCATCGCCTTCTACATGAACCTTATCACTGTCAACACACTCAACTGTTAGTGAATTATCTGTATAGCAAAACAGTCATTTAAAAACCAGGCGTTTCTTTTACTGAATTCGTGTGACACCTTGCCAAACACTTCAATTTAGACCATAGCACCCATGAAGCATACTGAACACGTTTAATAAGATCATCACGAATTACTCTAAAAGGTAATTCGAATGAAAAATCAATAACGGGAGTGGATTGTTTATCAATAATTTTCTTGAATAAATTCCTTTTCTCATCGAACGATTGTACTTCAGATATGTCATGTTCTGCAGAAGCATGTGACTCACCCAGAGAGTGATGTTCATCCTGACAATCAAATGAAATATTAGCATTATCCTGTATGCATAAGTTACAATTGTGTTCCAGGAAATCTGAGAACTGAAACATTCGTGAAGACAATTGGCTGGCAAAATCTCGAAGTTCACGATTTTCATGACATGATTCCTTTAGACGGCTTTCCAACTGTTCAATTACTCTCGAAGATAAATCATTTCGACTAGTTTCATTATCTGCAGCATTTGTTGGAGGCAGACTTCCACTACTCAACTGTTTGGTCAATGATGCTTTTGAAACTACACGAGGAGGACAGGATCGAGGTGAACTAGTGTTGTCGTGAATACTTAATTGGTTAGTGTTAGGTGGACAACCACGGGATACTTTATCACCTTCAACACGTGAACGTATCTCAGATGCAGATAAGTCTGTTGAAATAGTCGATGAATGATGTTTTCTTCCTCTTCTATATCCAAATGAAGCTTTCTTCAGACAGCCTACTAAGCGTTTGCGTAGGCGTTCACGTTGTATCTCTAACCTCCGCTGTTTCATTTGAGCATTGAGCTTGATGTTTTAGGAAAGCTACACGAATTCTATGAAGTGTATCAGATGTTCTTTTTAGAAGATAACTAAGTGACTCCTTATCACTCAACATTTGTTCTTGTTCCAATTTCGCTAATATATTCAATCGTATAGACACATCCAGTTCTTGTTGGCACCTGTAAAAAAGTCTCTGTGTATGCGTTAATTTCGATTGCACATGTTGAAAGCTTAACTCAGTCTTCTTACAATTATCAACACTGTTTCTATAAGAAGAAATGAGTCCTAAAACCCCTTCAACAAAGTTGTTCATGATAACTTCCAATTGTCCGCCCTCTATTTTTAAATTTTCGTATAACCCATAGCTTCGAATTCGGAATTGATCAACCGGACACTGGATTCCAGCTGGCTGTGAGGAGTAACAGCAAAACTATCGGAGAATAACTTTAGATCTTTTTGCGTGGACGCTATGGCAATAATCGACCAATTATTGCCTTGAGACTAGCAAACTAATCGTATAAAAAGTCATAAAACCACTGAAGTTTCAAAGCTCAAGTTCGAAGTGCACTCAAAACGTAAATGTATGAAATAATAAATTATAATGAATAAATAACTAAACTGTCTGTCTGTTTGTGAATGAGAACTTTCCATCGATGTGCAGCAATTCAAGTCAATACACTCCATGTAGCACATAAAGCAAGAGAAGAAAGTAGAAGAAATGCATAATATAGACAGTAAACAGAGGTGTGAGACAAAGGAATAGTAATAACGGAGAAAAAAACAATTTGATTGGAAATCACGAGTCACAAGGAGTGGAATTATCTGCGCCGGCTATTGAGAACGATTTTGAGCCATATCATTTATTTGATTTTTTTTGATTTTTGATTTACAGCTTGATTCCACACTGTATTTTTGGTACAAGTATGGAATTTTCAGCATGGATATCGGTAGCCCAAATTTTGCAGGCCGACCATAGATATCAGGTGTGCGTCGGCGTGGGCTCGAACCCCGGACCATGTGCATGGTCGGCGAGAGTCCTAACCACTGTGCTACCGAGGATTGTTTCCAGCCATTGCTTCTTACTGTCATGAAGACGTCAATCAGGAAGTCAGTCTACACCTTCCTGTGTGGCTTAGACTAACTGTTGTGGATTTCATTGACTAATGAGGCCATGTTTTGGTCTGACCACCACTAGCTCTTTTCCAGTTTGACCCTATGTCAGCTAACATTGCCCGTAGGTCGAGGAAGGCGATGACTAGGCATTAGTAACACATGTCCTAACCATCTCAGTCGATGTAATTTCACAGCCTCGTCAATTGATTTCCCCTCCTTACCCAGTCTAGCACTCGATGCCTCACCTCAATATTGCTCACCTTTTTATTCCACCTCACACGGGAGATAGAGCGCAGGCACCTATGATCACAGACAACTAATCTTTTCATGTCTTCCACTCTCAATGGCCATTTCTCACTCACAGCCATAAAGGAGGACGGAGCGAACTGATGAGCAGTACACCCGCCCTTTGGTCGACAGCCGGATATCACGTCTACTAAGCCAGAGACGGCGTGAACTGGCATATGCGAAACTAGCCCTCTGTATCCGTGCTGAGATTTCGTCAGAACTGAACATTTTACTTCTGTGTGTGTATTATGAATGAAACATTCATATAAGAACAACTCTTTGTGCTGATAAACTTTAATAAATTGAGTATTCGACAAATACAATAGTGGGTTGATTTTATTTTAGTATGACACATAATTGTACCCTGAATTCGCTTGTTTCATGGGAGTACATCGATTAGAAGTATAAACAATAAATCATTCTGAAAAACTCACTTCAAACTGAAGCATACACTGAGGAGGTTTTCCTAGGAAGGCAGTGAACGGTTCGCAACTGAAACCAACCAACTGAGAGAATACAACTACACCAGAACTTAATAAATGTATTTACAAATTCCCGTTTAAATATTTTAAAAAAAGTATATTTCTATGGTTAATTTGTATGGGTGTCTAATGTAGCTTCTCTTTTGCCAGTCTAGAGGATATTTTTAGCTAATGTCAGGTTGTTCATTTAGGCTCTTTTTCTCTCTCGGAAATATCTGTAGTCTGTGTGAATCACAGTTTTCAAGTCGTGAAAAGATATAATAGGATAGATTTAGTATTAAAAGAGGGAATAGTGTTAGTTACTACTTGACACAAAGTATTTTAAACTTCAGAGTATTATTCATATGAGGATTCCTCTCTAGTTAGAAATCTACAGAAAATCGTCTTTTTCAATCATCTGAACTGAATGGACAACCACTGGCGGGATGGATGAAGATATGAAAGACAGGAATGCATAGGTCACTGATAGACCTTCATCACCCTGAAGTGCTTGTTAAAATCTACTGCAGTCGGCATAAAGAAAAAGGTTTGAATATTCACTACTAATGTTAAATCAGTGCTTCTAAGTAGTGTTCATACACACTTGGTGCATGTATTACCGAATACATTTCCAAGAGGATGCAGACTTTCATCAATAGTTGTCTTTACTGGCTAGACATTGAATATCAGAGAACTGGATAGAAAGAATAAGTAACAAAGGCCTCTTAACTGAAACCAACCAAGAACCTATTACTCTATAAATATACAGAATGAAATGATGATGGAATGGACACACTTTAAGGAGACTGTTGAAATGACATCACATGCTACATAGGCCCATAAGTGGAATCCGAACCGAAGACTTCGTCGTCGACATGTAAGGGATTGTGCGAGGAGGAGTTCATAGCTTATCGGTTACCATGGAGTCAGCTAAAATAGTTTGCAAAGAACAGAGTAAATTGGAGATATGTGCTTTTGACGCCTTATATTCCACTTGGAACCTGAGAGAATAATAATGTAGAACAAATTACTCTCACCCACCTACACACACAATTATATTTCAAGCAGGCTAATTATCCTGAATTTCCATCCCTTGTTAACCTTACATGTAAAGCTTAACCTCCAGCCATTGTAAAAAGAAAAATAAAAGATATCCACCGAAGCGGTTACATCACTTAAACTCATTCGAAGCAACAAATTCTATCTTACTGACTATCGTTTTTTTCAAAACAGTTTCGAAAATTTCAACTGTTGGACGATTACTATCGTTTTCCTAACTGCCATTTCTACTTACAATCGTCAAGTAGGTTTTTCTGGTGCTTTTGCATATCATTGTATTTCAAAACCGAACAGCTTTTTCCCTTAATATTCGTCTGTAGAAGCCCGTCTCACTTACTGGCTGAGTTTTAACATGAAGTTTAATCCAGAAGTGCACCAGTTCAAATTGCTACATTCCATGTAGTACAGAAAAGTAAAAACAAAGGGATTCAAAAGTACTACAACAAGTAAGAATGTGAGCGAGAGAGAAAGAATAGTAAAGTGGAAAAAAACTCAACGGTTTATTGGATAAAGAAGATCAAAAAATTTGAATGGATCTGAGCCATCACTGAGAACGGTTTTGAACCATATTACAAATAGTCTCCAACCATTGGTTATTAGTATCCCGAGGATATCAACCACCTCCCTACATGGCTGGCTTAAACTAACACTGTTTTGAATTTCATGCAATGATTCCATGTTTTAGTTTAACCACCACTAGCTCCCGAAAATGAAAAGAATGGGTGACCAACTGAACGACTGCTTTCAACATAGAACTTTTCAGAGAAGTGCTTCTTTTCAAGTTGCCACACTTCACATAGCACACAAAGGAAGGCAAGAGAGAAAGAGAAAGGTGAAAAAGAGATTCGGAAGAACGATAATAAGCAGAAATGTGAGGAGGAAGGAATAGACGCATAGAGAAACAATAAGATTTTTTTGGGTATGACAGATCACAAAGGATGAATGAACCTGCGCCACTGTGAACAACTTTGATCCATTTCACTAAATTGCCTGTCACTATTGGTTCTTAGAATCCCGAGGACCCAAACCAGGCAGCCCATACCTCCCTAGGTGACACAAAGTAACTGTTAAAGATTTCATT